TTAAACAAAATAGACTAATTCTTTGAAAATCACAACTTCCAAAATCCAAAATTCCTATGACTTTTAAAAGAAATGCTTCAACTCCTGTAAAATAAGTCATCGGGCCCAGATGGCTTTACTGGCAAATTCTACCCAACTCTACATAATCTCTTCCAAAAAAACAGAAGGGAACATTTCCCAGTTATTATTTTTTTAAAAACAGACTATTCTGATAACAAAACCAAACAGTAAACTACGGACCAATTTCCCTCTTGAAACAGACACAAAAATCCTCAACACATTACCAAAGGAAATACTAGAATAGGTAAAAAGACAACAGAGCATGCCAAGTGGGATTTATCTCAAGAACGCAAAACTGATTCAATTAAAAAAAAAAAATCAAGGGGCTGGGGTTGTGGCTCAGTGGTAGAGCGCTCACCTAGCACRTGCAAGGCCCTGGGTTCAATCCTCAGCACCACATAAAAACAAATAAACAAAATAAAGGTTAAAAAAAATCTCTTAAAAAAATCAATACAAATAAAGAAAAAGCCCCATATAATCATATCAATCTATGCAAAAAGGCATTTGGTACATTGGGACTGGGGTTGTGGCTCAGTTGTAGAGCGCTCGCCTGGCATGTGTGAGGCCCTGGGTTTGATCCTCAGCACCACATAAAAATAAATAAATAAAAACCCTGGCTGCCCTTTAAAAAAAAAAAAAAAGAAAGGCATTTGGTACAAACACCCATTCACAAAAATAAAGTATTATAAAATCCCAAAATCCTCAGTAAAGTAGAAATAGAAGAAAAAATAAATTCTTCTACCTGACAAAAGGCATCTACAAAAACCCCCCAAATCTGAATATTTCACCCTTAAAATTGTGAACATGACCAGATGTTCATTTTCACCACTCCTAATTGATAGAGTACCAGAAGTCCTTACCAGTACAATATGGCAAGATAAGGGAATAAAGTTTCTACAGATTACAAGTATTTTCATGTTCTAGCAATGACCAATCGAAAACAAATCTTAAGAACACAATATCATTTATAATCACTCCCCAAAATAGGAAATACATAGGTATAAATATAATAAAACACGGTAACAAATAAAATTAGACCTAAGTAGAAGGATATATTATGTTCACATTTTAACTATCAACATTATATAGATATCAGTTCTCCCCAGAATGATGTTTAGATTTAAAATACAATTGATGTTTATTCAGACACAAATTAATTCTAAAATTTATATGGAAAAACAAAGGGATTAGAATAGCTAAAATGATACTAAAAAGTAGCAAAGTTGGGCCGAGACGTGGTGGTGCACACCTATAATCCCAGTGGCTTGGAAGGTTGAGAAAGGAGAATAGGATCACAAGTTTAAAGACAGCCTAAAGAAAAGCAAGGTGATAAGCAACTCAATGAGACCCTGTCTCTTAATAAAATGCAAAATAGGGCTATGGGTGGCCTTTTCAATAAATGGGGCTGGAACAAGTGGACTTCCATAGACAAAGTAAGAATCTTAACAAAAGTCTTATAAATTGTGTAAGAATTAACTCAAATTGACCTAAATATAAAACAGAATTATACATTTGTAAACAATATATAAAACTTAAAAAAGCTTTGAGAAAACATAAGGAAAAATCTTTGTGACCCAGGGTTAGACAGTTTTTAGACATCACAATAAACCAAGACCCACATAAACTCATAAATTTACAAATTAAACTTTTATCACTTTTAAAAATCAGGTATGTAAAAAAGATTTTAAGAGAATGAAAAGACATGACACAGACTGGGAGGAAATATTAGCAAAACATGTTTAATGATGAACTTTTACCAATAAAGCATAAATAGGTAGGGTTGTAAATTAGTATAGCCATTATGGAAAACAGTGTGAAGTTTCTTCAAAAAACTGAAAATGCTGGCTGGGCACAGTGTAATCCCAGGAGCTCAGGAGGCTGAAGCAGGAGGATTTTGAGTTCAAAGCCAGCCTCAGCAAAAGGGAGGTGTTAAGCAACTCAGTGAGACACTGTATCTAAATAAAATATAAAACAGGGCTGGGGATGTGGCTTGGCGGTCAAGTGTTCCTGAGTTCAATCCCTGGTACCTCCCCCGCCATATACACAGTTTTTAACTCACACCCAGTGTTATCCAAAGTAAGCTAATCATCAGAATCACAGGGTAGGAGAGAAAAAAGCTTCAGTTAGAGTCTTGGGTCTCCAGTCTGAAGATTATGGTTTCAGGTTTCTTAGATGGGAACTTCAGAGTCTGTATTTTCTATAGCACTGAACTAGTCTGGCCTTCTTCTGAGTTCCAATTCAACTAACATCCCTCCAATCCCACTCTCAGGAGTCTGCTCATGGTTTCACATTAAATAAATTATATATTTCAAAATATTTGGCCCGAAAAGGAAGCCTTTCATAATTTGGTCCCTCTTATGGGCTGAACTACAGGTAGACAGCCTTAAAAAAAAAAGTCCAGATTAGCCTAGAACTCAGTATATGACTAGACCACACTTGAGCTACAGTGGATGGTGTGGACAAGTCTTAAAAGACTAGGGTTGTATGATCGTGAACTCGGGGAAAAGTAAGATCCTAATAGGCAAACAGACAAAAACAAAAGAAAATTAGAAACTCCAGGGGTAAAAATTGTATGAGAAAGTTATAGTCAAATATGAAATATATAGTATGACTAAAAGCAACTGACAGTTTCAAAAAGAGAATTCACTTTTTAATTTTCTCCTTTCAGTAGCCAAGGGTTCAAATATTAAACCTACAAAGAAAGAAATATAAACCCAGAAAACACTGCTTGGCCTCACAATATTGGCTAACTACAATGTGAATACCRCTTAACAGCTTTCAATTTTGAGAGAACTTACGGACAGACCATGAAAGGTTTGTCTGTGTTCAGAGGACAGGATGAAGAGGTTAACAAAAAGTGGAAAAGTGTACGTGAAAAGTACTAAYAAACAGCAGAAGAACAAAAACTTATGCAAAATCAAATGGATGGATAATGTGAGGTAAATCCTCATCTTTCATAATAGACAAAACTGTGTCAAAAGTTAAATCACCATCTTCAATACTGAAGAGGCAAAACTGTTAAGCTAATTTTTCAAAAAGGTTTACACATACATACACACACACACACACACAAAAAAAAGCATAAACACATAATCTAGCATTACAAAGCCCATTAAAAAGTAATAATACTGAGAAGAATATAAAATGCTAAGGCACTGTGGAAAACAGCACAGTGGTCCCTCCCAAAACTGCTGGATCAGAGAATTGCCATATGATCCAGCAACTCCATTTCTAAATATATATTCAGAAGGACTGAAATGGAGACTTGCRCAGATGTTTGTACACCCATGTTCAGAAAAGCATTAGTCACAAGAGCCAAAAGGTGGAAGCAACCCAAATGTCCATCAATAGATGAACAGATAAAGAAAATGTGATATATGCCATATAAAAATATTCCAATGAAATTCTTACACATGCTACAACATAGATGATCCTTAAAAACACTATGCTGCCAAGTACAGTGGTGCAGAACTGTAATCCCAGTGGCTGAGGCAGGAAAATCACAAGTTTGAGGTCAGTCTCAGCAACTTGGCAAGCCCGTCTCAAAATTTAAAAAATTAAATTAAATTAAAAAAAGAATCTGGTTGTATTTCGGTAGTTCAATCCCCAGTATGAAAGAGAGAGTACAATTTTTTTCCGTGAARAGAGAGCGAGCATGCATGCCATATGGTAAGCAGTATAAGCCAGACCAAACGACAGATATTCTGTGACTATGTTTATTGTTGTTGTTTTTTAATATTTATTTTTTTGTTGTAGTTGGATACAATATCTTTAATTAATTTATTTATTTTTATGTGGTGCTGAGGCTTGAACCCAGGGCTTTGCCCATGCTAGGCTCTACCTCTGAGCCACAACTCCGGCCCCTGTGACTACGTTTATATGAGGTACCCAGAGTAGTCAAAACTTATAAGGACAGGAAATAGACTAGTCGTTGCCAGAGACTGGGGGACATGAGGAATCAGGAGTTGTAGTTTAATGGGTAGAGAATTTCAGTTGGGGAAATGAATGGATGGTGGTAAATGGCTTCACAACAATGTGAATGTACTTAATTCCAGTAAATAGTACACTTAAAATTTAATACTTAAAATGATAAATTTTATGATAGTATATTCTATTACAAGAAAATAAAAAATAAATATGTAAATGTATACATTAACATAGAAAATGCTTTTAGTGTAGCAGGGGCTCCCTCATACAATACATATCTCCTTCCACTCTGAACCTCTGGCCAGAGGAGCCATTAACCTGACTTCTATAGTTTAGTTTTACCTGATAAATGAACTACATCTATTTGTATGTTTCTGACTTCTTTCACTCAGCATTATGTCTATGAGATTCAAACACATTATATATTGTYAGTTTTACTCCTTTAAATTGCTAAGTAGAATTCTATTGTATAAACACATTACAATTTATTATCTATTTGTGTTTTGGGACATTTATTTCCATTGTTTTCAGCTATTACAAATAAAGCTGCAGKTGAATATTTATATATCTTTGTGTGGACATGTTTTCATTTCTCAAGGGCAAATACCTGGGAGTAGAATTCCTGGGTTATTGCATTCATGTATCTTACTATATTAACTTTAGTGAATATTGCCAAACAGTTCTCCAAAGCTGTAGTAATGGTTGACACGCCCAGTAAAACCTGGAGTTCAGCTGTCATCTTCCCATAGAAGCTTTAGTTCAATAAGGGCAGGACGGCAGGATATTTATTTTGGTCTTTTTTTCTTTTTTAAGGTCATGATTCTAATACATGACCACATTGAGAACATCATCTTGAAGGATTATAATTATACTTTTAATCATGAAAAAATAAGCTACTTTTATAGCTTGAAAACAAAACAGAGTGGGAAAGAGCCTGGTTTTAAGCCTTTTTCTGTGAAGACATTAACTTGTCTGACAAGGCCTTCCCACAGTTTTGGTTTTATTTTTCTTACCTTAGTTATTTGAACTGCATCATCCATCACCGCTCATTGGAATTCCATAAATACCCTTTTTAAAGCTGTGCTACCTGCAAAATTGAAAAACAAACAAACAAAAAATTTAGAAATATAAAATGGCCTCTAAGCAACCTAGAAAGACCCTGTCTCCAAATAAAAATTTTAAAAAGGGCCCGGGATGTTGCTCAGTGGTTAAGTGCCTCTGGGTTCAATCCCTGGTACTGGCAGCAGGTGGGAAGGAGATATAAAATAGCCCTATTAGACACCATGGACTATTCCAGGGAAAGGTGTAAACTCTTACAAGATGTCCCACAGAAGTGTGTTTAAAATTCTAGAAGCCACAGAACAAAGCTCCATCTTAAATAGTTCATATCACTGAAGAGCTCATGAGAACAGGCCTTTCCATGGGAACAGGATGGAACATCATTATCATTCCCTTTTCCCAAAACTTAGGACAATGTCATTATAGCATCATTTATGTACCATGTACCATTAGATACTCCACCCCACCTCCCACCCCAACCCAGGAGGGGACTTCTGGCAATGTCTCAAGTTAGTTTTGATTGTCATAACTGAAGGCAGGGGGTTGTGCTCTCATATCTAGAGGTCTATGCTGCTAAACATCTTACAAATTATAGGACAGCCCTCTGTAACAATGAATTTTCTAGCCTCCAAATGTAAACAGGCTGAAAAACTCTGCACTGAATAAAGACCCACTTTCAGTCTAAGTTCTGCAATTTATTTAGCTCAATGATCCAAGACATATCTATTATCCATTATAAGCCTTAGATTTTTTTATTTTCTTGAAGTTTGAATAACATGTTCTTTCCTAATTAATGAGACAGTAAAATAACCAATATTCTAATAAAACCCAATATTTGAGCATATGCAATGGGTCATAGCCCATACTAAGTGTTTTTATATATTCTACCTCCTTTAATCCTCAAAACAGTCCTACAATAAATTATTATTACCCCCAGTATTCAGTATTCAGATGAATAAGTTGATATACCAAGACTTGCCCAAGGTCACAAAGTGGCAAATGGAAGACAGAAAATTTAAATCCAATCAATCTGATTTCCAGAGCCCTCATTTATTCATTAACTTCTCCCATCTTTTTGGATGCAGGATTGAGTTAAGACATCCTTCAATTCAAAGCCCACTAAACACCATATGAGACCACAGACCAGAAATGCAGATGTCATTTTCAGCTATGAATTAGCCAAGAATAAGAAAACAAAATTCAAGGCTACTGAGGGCCTAATGCYATAGGTCATAATGCTCATATCCTGTACTAACACTGGATATAACCACCCTTTTCAACATGAAAGGTCTTAAGAATGATCTATTTTGTTTCTAAAACTGTTCTGATAAAATAATCCTAAGTACCTTGTAAAAAGCCTTATATAAAGATCTCACCACTGTTATTTTTACTAATATGAAAAATTTAGCAACCTACAGAAGGTATACATATAAACCAAATACATGTTGAGATATTATACACTTTTAAAATGCATGCACAATAACCACAGAATAATCCACATGTTAAAGAGAAAAGGCCAGACACAAAATTTTATTTCATGGCAGACACAGATACAACAAGCAAATCCCTCTTCAAGAAAGGACATGCTGTCCAGCTGCATGGATGTGGTTAGCTGACAGCTTCCTTCAGTTAGTTTCTTTAGACTCTGCCTCAGCTTTTAGCAGAGGTCACCCTGTCCTCAAGAATGCCCAATGACTGGGCAATGTGGTGGTACAAGCAACCATCCATTCCAGCCCAGTGGCCTTTCTCTATCAGGCAATCTGGGCAGGCAGAGACTTTGTAAGGTGTGAATTACAGTTTGATGTTTCTCAGCACCCAAACCTGCTTCCTTCCCTCCACCTCAGTATGCTTCCTAGGGAACTCCACTGGCGCATAATTTTTTTTTTTTTTTTTTATTTAGGGTTTGAACCCCGTGGAACCTTACCACTGAGTTACATCCCCAGCCCTTTTTATCTTGAGACAGGGTCTTGTTAAATTGCTTAAGGACTCCTAATTTGCTGAGGCTGGCTTCAAACTTGCACTCCTGCCTCAGCCTCCAGATTGCTGGAATTACAGGCATATGCCACCATGCCCAGCTTTAGCACATCGATTAATAATGTGTACGTGGAAGCTGGGGTTGTGGCTCAGTGGTAGAGTGCTCTCCTGGTATACATGAGGTTCAACCCTCAGCACCACATAAAAATAAAATAAAGATATTGTATTCACCTAAAACTTATATATATATTATATTTTATATTTTTAAGAAAAAAGAACCTGCACATGGATGGAGAAACAAATACTGCCCCTGGGGAGAGAGGAACTCCCAATAAAAAACCAAAATATTACCAATTCAAGTTAGAATTCAGTACTAAGTTTTCCATAATGACCATCTTCTACTTACACATTAAAAAAAATGAAAGTAAGAGTTTAAACTAGATTTTTCTCTACAGAAATGTTCTAATGGCAAGCTAAATTGGTATACTTTGTATACAATGTCCACAAATTCACAGAAGAATGAATATAACCAATCTGCTGATGTTCTTCAAAAAAAGCAAATGCCCAGGTACTAATACAACTATGGGCTTCACAGACATTTCCTCATTTATTTAATTAGAAGTTGTACTAGTTTAAATTAAAGGCTTTTAGAAAAGACCATGCAGCCCATTCAGTTAATGCTCCTGTTTTCACAGAGGAGACCAATGCCCCAGAGTGACTGACTGGGTCAGCAAAGAACAGTTGTTAGCTATGTTTCTCACTGCCTGGGTCCATTTCTCTTTTCAGATACACTGGTAATCTATCCAAATGCAGAAAGAACATTAAGTATATAATTCCAAAGAGGCTATAATATTAAGATTATTCCAAAAATTAATCAAAATCTAGCCCCTTCATTCTATGAAAACTGAATGGTAGCATCAAGTACTCCCTGTTCCTTGAATGCTGACTCCCTGAGTTGTATCAAACTAACAGACTTCTCTATACCCCTAATTCTTCCCCAGTCCAGCTATCACTTTCTCCCACTTTCTTTTCCCTTCACTCTTTTCAATAGTTTACACTTAAGTGCCTTTCTACCTCTACCTCAAACTGCTGCCTTTTGACACACATCCTCACTTGGCTTCTACAAAAACTGCTCTTGGCTGAGTCAAACAGAGATTCTTAATTTTCCCAAACTTCAGGATCTGACCACTCCCATCAGCACTCCATCAGCAACTTTTCTTCTCTGCAAAAGTACCTAGAACTGCTCTTAAATGTTAAGTGTTTCCTAGATTTCCATCTTCAACCTTCTCTATTCCAATAGTTCTCAAAGCTGACTGCACAACAGAATTGGCAGGAAACTTTAAAAAAAAAAATTTCTGGTGCCCAAGTCACACACTTCTTCCCTGGGGTCAGGTACATTATGAGCTTGGTGTAGGGGTCCACTGACAATGTCGGTTCCACTTTGTTTTTAGGTGCCCCAGGTGATTCCAATGTGTAGCCGGGATGAGAATCACTTTTCCTTCCAGGCTTAATTTCATCCCTTCTTCTCACATCTATCTCTAATCTCAAGCTCTTCAGATCCAGATACATGCCCTTGCCTTCTACACTTGCATATCTCTGATTCAAATGATCAACACTCATAGAAATGTTTTTCTCCTAATTCTCTTCCTCCTTACCTGCTTATCTCAGTGAATAAATTGCAATATATTCAAGGAGTCAGCAAACCTTTTCTGTAACATAGGAAATTTTGGCTTTGCAGGTCACACAGCCTATTATGATCACTCAGCACAAAAGCAGCCATAAGACAATATGTAAAATTTCAGCATTGCTGTATTCCAGTAAAACCATTTAGGAACACTGAAATGTGAATTTTATATAATCTCCACAGCACAAAATATTACTCTTCTTTTGATGTTTTCCTCAACCATTTAAAGATGTAAAAACAACTCTTGAGTTTGTGGGCTATGCAAAACTAGCAACAAAAAACAAAACAAAACAAAACAAAAAAACAACAACAAAAACCTAGCTGCTGCTAGGTCCTAGTTTGCCAACCCTGGTCTACATCTGTCTAAGCCAGAACTCCAGTTGTCTCAATTACTTTCTTTCCCTTAGCTACCAAAGTCAATCATTGCCTACAGCAAAGTACTTTTAGAAAAGACCAACAATACATGGCACAAACTGCTTTAATAGTTTACAGTGTCTCCCACCTAACAGTAAGAGCCTTAAGGAAAAGGTCTACACCTTAATATTCATAGAGCCTACTAGAATATCAAGATCACTATAAGAGGGGTGGGTGACTCAGTGGTAGAATGCTCGCCTAGCACGTGTGAGGCACTGGGTTCGATCCTCAGCACCACATAAAAATAAAATTGTGTGTCCACCTACAACTAAAAAATAAATATTAAAAAAAAAGAACACTATAAGCAAAAGGGTCTTTAAGTGTTTCCCTGGTTCAAAACAGAGAATCCTACCACCAAGAAAGGGAGTCCCATATACTACTAATTTGGATCTTTCTTTATGCTAAGATAGGTTTCTTTTTTTAGTTTATTGTTGAAATTGATAAAAAGGTTTAAAAGGAGAAGAGAAAAATACATTTTAAAATGTATTAAATAAAAGCTGAGACAAAGATGGAGCTGCCATTTAAAAATTTGAGCATGAGTAATAATGGTCACTACTATTCAATGCTTTAATAACTGCTTAATTTCTGCCTTCTGGGTGCTGCTACTTCTTGGATCTCTTGACACTTGGTCAAATCTTGAAAGATGCAATGCAGTGTGAAATTAACCAGAACACATCAAAAGCAGCTCACTGAAGATCAGAAAAATAATAACTATAATTTATTAAGTACTTATGTGTCAGGCATTGTCAAACTACACAAAGTACATTATTTAACCTTGTTTTTGAAACAGCACAAGGAATAGATACTTCACTATGCAGATCTTACAGATGAAGAAACTGTGGCATACACAATAGTTAACTGGTCCACAAACAACTAGCAGGTAACAAGACTGAATCAAATCCACATGTTAAAAACTCCAAAATCTATGTTCTCATTCACTGGCTGAATAAAGGCTATAACCCATGGGTGTCAAGAGCCACATAAGGAAAAGAGCTTTCTCCAAAAGGAACCTAAATGGAAAGTTTCAAAAGTCCTCTTTGAAAGTATCATAATTGTCACATTATTACAATTTCCAAAGCACACAATTAATGAGGCTTTCCAATAAGAGTTTGACTAAAGAATGAAACAAATGGGGAAAGCCAGTTTGTTGACATGGTAGAGCTTCCTACCTCAGAGATGAAAAAAACWGACAAAATGACTTTGTGGTAAATTAGAGACACAGCTATGGTTCCATTTCCTATTGTTAAAAAACTCCGTTTGACAAGAAGCCCTAGGCTTACTATAGCAATTACTGGTCTTGCTATTCAACAAATTTCTGCATTTTTGCTTCCTCGGGAAGCAGACAGGAAAATCAGGCTCTTAATCTACTTTTTAAAGACGAGTTATTATTTTAAAATAGAATTTAATAAATGAATAGGTAAGAAGTAATTTTATACTTTGGCCAACACCCAGTATTTCTGTATATTAAACTCAATCTTTAAAAAGCACATGGCATTATGTTTTTTAAATCTAGTAACACTGCAGCCTAGAAAGTCTATTAAAACTCTTCAGTTACTAAAATCTAGAAATGCTGGATCAATGATAATATACTTTGAAAACCACCAGCAGCACAAAACAAAAAGTTAACCAAAAGCCAGAGCTAGAAGTATAAGCTCATCTCTATTGTCCAGCAGCATTAGTTAGGACATTTGAATAATCAAGGGAAGAAGGAGAAGGAGGAGGAAAGAAGACAGAAAGCAGGAGAGAAGTTGAAAAGGCTCCTGAGAAACATGGTGATTTTGACCCAAGACCCCTCAAAGGCCTGTGCTCTCAATGAAAATAGATTAGAAAAAATCCGCCTGTAAGGACCAGGACATCAGAAAGCTTGTCTGCCTCAGTTTGAACTGTGGGTAAGAGAAGGAAAATGTTTTTCTTGAGAATCTAAAAACCAGAGATTTTTTTTATGAATTTGAGGACTAAATTTACTCTATCATATAATTCAGAAACCTCCAGAAGGGAAATTAGCAAAATTGGTCCAGGCTTGTAATGCTCCTGGACATCTTGTAAAACAAATATGGAAAGACAATCTCTCAAACACAAAATGCACAGAATCCAAAAAAATCAAAGTCTCATAAGGACTACAAAATAAGTATGATTAACAATGAYTAGGGGTGTGGTTGTAGCTTGTGGTAGAGCGCTTGCCTCACACGTGTAAGGCCCTGGGTTCAATCCTCCACATCACATAAAAATAAATAAATAAAAATATATTGTGGCTACCTACAACAAAAAAATTATATTAAAAATGATTAAAGAGACAAAAACATCAACACCATAAGGAATAAAATATTTTTAAAAAGAAGAAAAAAGCAAAACAACCAAATGGAACTTCAAAATAAACTTCACTATATATATATATATATATATATATATATATATATATATATATCTCCTAAAATATAAAACTCCATAGATGAGTTAACCACTAGAGAAGACACAACTGAAGAAAGAATTAATAAACTGGAAAATATGTCTAAAGAACTTATTAAAAATGCTACACAGAGAAAGAAATGTCCTGATCTAGAAAATAACTTAAGGCTAAAACATAAATACCTGAGTTCAAAATGCAAGGACACTTTGTGTTCTCTGACCGTAAAATTCAAATAATCTAAATAAACTCCTCTTAACAAATTATGAATTATAAGACAGTTTGTTGAACTGAAAAAAAAGCCATCTATGAAAAATTTAAAGCAACATCATATTTAGTGGTGAAATATTAAATCCCACTCCTAAAATCAGAAAAAAGGTGAGAAAAAATTTTTAAAAAAAGACATATAAAGCTAGAAAAAGAAGTATTAAAACTATCTTTACTAGAGAACACGATTTTGTACTCAGAAAAATGTTAAAAAAATCTATAGCTGGGCAGGATGGCACATGTCTATAATCCCAACAACTCAGAAAGCTGAAGTAGAAGGACCTCAAGCTCAAGGCCAGCCTAGGCAACTCAGTGACAGCCTGCCTCTAAATAAAATAAAATAATGGCTGAAGATAATAGCTCAGTGGTCCAGTGCTTGTCTAACATGTACAAAGTCCTAGATTTAATATATTTTTTCTTTTTATGCATAAGAAAAAAATCTTCACAAGCTTGAGATAGTGTATTAATTTTATATGATTGCATAACAAATCACCTTAAGTGTAGAAGTCAGAGTTCTAAGCCCAGCAGGGCTGTATTCTCTGCTTAGGGTCTCATAAGGATTAATTAAAGATGTCTGCCAGATTTTGTTCATATCACCATTTGGGAAACTCTTCTAAGTTCACATAATTGTGGTAGAATTCAATTCCTTATAGTTGTAGGACAAAAGTCCCTATGTCTTTGCAACTTTTCAGCCAGGGGCCATTCTTACCATCTAGAGCCACCTGCAATCCTTGACAAGTGGTCTCTTAAAACTTCAAAGTCAGCAAAGAAAAATCTTCCTTTTGTCAAATTCTTCTTATGCTTCAAATTCTTTGACTTCTTCTAACTCTGACCTTTGAACCTATATTTAAAGGATTTATGTGATTAAGTCAGACCCCTCAACATAATCTTCCTTTCAATTAAATCAAAGTCAATTGTTTAGTAGATTATGTCAATGAAATTTCTGTCAGGTAAAATTGCAGTAAAATTCTGTCATATTCACAGGTCCTACCAACACTTATAGAAATTATACAAGGGGCTGGCCTTGTGGTCACTTTAGCATTGTGCCTGCCAAAGACAGACAAAAACTTTGAATTCAAAAACACATAATACCATTAATACATGCAATAATTTGAACTTCATCAAAATTACAAACTTCTGCCAAATGCAGAGGTGCACATCTGTGATCCTAGCTACTCAGAAGGCTGAGGAAAAGGACCCCAGGTTCAAGGCTAGCCTGGGCAATTTAGTGAGATCCTGTTTCAAAAAAAAAAAAAAGAAAAGAAAAGAAAAAAGGACTGGAGATAGAGTTCAGTGGTAGAGCACTTGCCTACCACATACAAGGCACTGAATTCAATCCCTAGTACCTAGRAGGGTCAAAAAAAAAAAGAACAACAACCTTTTGTACCATTAAAAAAAGAAGAAAGGAACAAAGAAAAGGAGCTGGGGAAGTGGCCCAGTGGTACAGTGCTTGTCTAGCTTGTACAAAACCCTGGATTTAATCCYCAGCACAACAACAACAACAACAAAAGGCTATACACAGGCTGGATTTGTAATTGTAACACATATACACGATTAATGAATTACATCCCTAATATGTATTACATCCCTAATACATCCCTAATACATAAATAACCCTTAAGACTCAGCAACAAAAATAACTTAACAGCCAGGAGTAGTGACACACACCAGCAATTTGGGAGACAGATCTCAAATTCAATGCCAGCAACTAAGTGAGGCCCTAAGTAACTCAGTGAGACCCTGTCTCAAACTAAAAAATAAAAATGGCGAGGGAGGGATAGAGCTCAGCACCCCTGGGTTAAATCTCTGGTACCCAAACCAAAACAAACAAACAAAAACTCAACAAGAACGAGCAAATTGAAAGAGACACTCAAAAAAAGCAAACACACAAATGCAGTGTGCAATAAACATCATTACTCTTAAGAAAATGCAAATCAGGGATGGGGGTGTGGCTCAGTGGTAAAACCCTTGCCTAACATATGCAAAGCCCTGGGTCTGCTTCCCAGTACTGGGCAAAAAAAAAAAAAAGGAAAAAAATGCAAATTAAAACCAGTTTTTATAGTTTTTAGCTATTACACACTTTGTAATAGCTAAAAACTAAAAGGCTGGCAATACCAAGTTTGGTAAATATGTGGAAGAACTGGAACTCATGTGTGTATATGTTAATAGAGATGAATACAGGGTCCCAGCCCCAGGCATGTTAGGCAAGTGTTCTAATATCAAGCTACATTCACCTGGGAACACTTGCATGTTCCTGTTGAGAATGTAAATTACACATACACACATATCCAGGTCTGTTTCTGAACTTCCTGTTCTGTTCCAATTATTTATTTGTTTATTCTAAAACAAATGCCAAATCTAACTCTCAAATATATTTTGCTATCTGGAGGATCCAGTGTTAAATATACTTCTCCCCTCTATTGCCTACCAACTATCCTTCTGTTTCAAAATTTCTCAAAATTTTCAACTGTTGGATGTATTCTTTTTTTCTGTACAAGGGACTGAAGCCAAAGGCACTTAACCACTGAGCCAAACTCCCCAGCCGCCCCCTTTTAATTCTTTCTTTCTTTGTTTCTTTCTTTCTTTCTTTCTTGTCATACATGACAGCAGAATGAATTTTRACATATAATACAAACATGGAATGTACATACATCAATCATATTGTCAATTCTATTCTGCTGCCCTTCCTATCCTCCTTACTCCTCCCCTCCTCTCCCATCCTTTCTCTCTATCCAATCTAATATGACACACTTTTTTTTCTTTTTCTCATTATAACATCATATATGTATTCTGTATAATAATGAGATTCTCCTTTCATCTTCCGTGCAACTCCCCTTCTCCCTCTTTTTCTCTCCCACCTCTCTTCCCTATTTAGTGGTAGTCTTCTTCTCATGCTCTTCTTCCCTATCCCCATTTTGAGTCACCTCCCTTATATCAGAGAAGACATTCGGTATTTGTTTTTTAGGGATTGGCTAACTTCACTTAGCATAATCTGCTCTAATGCCATCCATTTGCCTGCAAATGCCATGATCTTGTTATTTTTTAGGGTCCCCAGCCCCTTTTTACAGTTTATTTAGAGACAGGGGCTCACTAAGTTGCTGAAGCTGGCTTTGAACTCATGATCCTCCTTCCTCCACCACAACCCAACGCACTGGGATTACAGGCATGTACAACCATGCCCAGCTGGATATAKTCTTCTAAAGGAACTGTTCAGGCAATTTGTCAAGTTCTCAAAAACATTCACCACCCCCCACCCAGGGCTTACAAATTAATGTGCATTAAATAAATCTACAGAATGATTTGGAGAGAATTAACATCTATACAATACCTTTATAATATTTGTATTTTTAAAAATCTCTTATTAAAACTTTAGAATTTTCTTCATATGTCTTACATATTTTTTATTAATTTGTGTTCTCTTCTGTCTCTATTAAGTTTTTTTTTTTTTAATTTTTCTACTAGTGTAGCACTTAACAGAATGAATTAAGTTTTATAACAACAGGTCATCCTCTCTTCTTTGCTCTCCTTTATTCATACCCTCCAAAACAGGAAATTTTTTAGGGAAAAGAATGTGTTTTATTCCCCTTTGTGATTTGAATACCTAGCATGTGCTAATCAATCAATCCTTACCAAACTGAAAAATTCCTTGCTGGACTGGGGATATGGCTCAAGCGGTAGCATGCTCGACTGGCATGCGTGCAGCCCGGGTTCGATCCTTAGCATCACATACAAACAAAGATGTTGTATCCACCGAAAACTAAAAAATAAATATTAAAAAATTCTCTCTCTCTCTCTTTAAAAAATAAATAAATATATATATATATTATTTAGGCTGCTAAAAAAAAAGAAAAAGAAAAATTCCTTGCTAAGGTATGGAAACCTAATACTGAATCTTTAAAAGGGAAACAGGATAAAAGAGAGCTTATTATTTGGTGTACAGAAGAGCTTCCTAAATCCACTACCCTAGCTAACATTAAAAAATGTACCCATGTCAAACACACCTTCCTTCTTTTAAAGGTCTTTCATAAATGAATTCAGTACAAATCTTGGAATTTATTTTTTAGCCTTTATAACCTCATTGATAATTCCACTTCTCATTTGTGAATGGCAGTCAACACTTGCTGAGTGCTCCCTATAAATTAGGTCTGTTTTTACATAATGCAGCTTGTACTCCATACCACAATCCAATGCTAATATTATATCCTATTTTATAGATGAGGAAACTGAGGCACAGAGATGTTAAGTAACTTGCCCAAGGTTACATTCTAAACAAATAACAGAGATGAGATTTGAACCTAAGCATTCCAGCTTTAGAATCCACAAAATAATTTTATATTCCATTTCATTAGTGGATCGGCTTTAACTAACCAGTTAAAAATCTTCATTGTGTTCAATAAAAGCTCAGCACATCTATAACATGTGACATTTAAAAAAAACAATATCCTCAAATTATAATTAGGAGTGTTTTTAAATATTAAAAAGGACTAAATATTTGTTGTTCTAATATAGATCATCCTATTTAGACAAACAACTTTAGTTAAATCATTAAAGTCTTACCTAGCAACCTATTAACACCTGACTCATTTAAATCAATTCAACAACATTCCCAACCCCCCTCTAGTATGATTTAGATTCATTTGGCAACAACCTTCCCAAAATGTATTATTAAAGAATCTCATGCTTTTAAAAAAAGGATCAGACCATGGCTGGCAGATGCCAAGAATGAGTTTACTGCCTTGTTTCCATGACTTCATCAATCTGAGACCGGCTAAGAGAGAAGGCGTATCCTTGGAAACGAATTCATTGCTTCCCTCAACTAAGAAAGGTAGTAGAAAATAAAGAAACTTCAGAATAATTTAACTTGTATTTAATGTGCCCACTGCTTATGACAATCATGGGCAAAAGTCCTGTCCCAATCAAAGTTGTGACAAAATTGTCTGTACTTAGTGGAAAATCTCAAATTGACTATCCTATGACTGAGAGTATCCTATGATTCATATACACTATTTTGGTTTCTTTAAATGAATCACAATAGAAGCTGTACTAATAAGACTTTAATGAATAATGTCTAACTGGGGTAAATATTTAGTATCCCTCAATATCTTTGCTGTTCAACTGCATGCTAACAAACACCTGAATTTTTCATGTACATCCTTATTTGCTCTAAAGGGCCCTTTATTGCAGGTGTTGTATACTCTGAAATTTCAAAATGAAAGAGTTTTCCAAATACAATAAGTTACCATTCATTTTAATTACATTTCTTTTTTTTAAAGAGAGAGAGAGAGAGAGAATTTTTAATATTTATTTTTCAGTTTTCGGCGGACACAACATCTTTGTATGTGGTGCTGAGGATCGAACCTGGGCCGCACATATGCCAGTCGAGCAATCTACCGCTTGAGCCACATCCCCAGCCTTTAATTACATTTCTAAGGCAAGAACTTACAATGAAGTGCAAATTAATTTTAATGAAATGAAGTACAACCTCTCAGGTTTTCTTAAACCAGGACTCATTTCACCCCTCCTTCCCTTCTCTGGAGCTATAAATATACTTCCTGCCATCAATAGCAATGGCTGAAGCAACCCTTCTTTTCAAAAGAACTAAAAATACATTATTGTACATATCCTCCCTTCTGCTACCCACCCACCATTCCAAGAGGAACTGACACAGGGAAATGCAGAGCTATGTAAAGTTCAGCTGAAAGCAGTGCAAAGACAGTAATTTTCCTTAAAAAAAAAAAAGTTAGCTAATTGAACAGTGTTTAAGTAGTGTTTAA